CCCCAAAACCCCAAAACCCCAAAACCCCAAAACCCCAAAACCCCAAAACCCCAAATACAGGTATTCAAATTGACAAAAACTTAAAAATTGTTCGTATAATTAACAAGTAATGCTTAATATCTCTGAAGAAGAGAGTTTTTCTTTACTCCAAGCTTTTGGAGCTGTGAGACGATCATCTTCTCGCCAAGGCTGTAGTTGAATTCATCTAAAAATGACAACCTCGTCCTTACCTGGATAAGTCTCTTGAGTGACTTGATTGTAAAAATTAGGGCTGTTAAGAGACTGGTTCAACTTTCTATCTTCCTTCCTATTCTTGGATCTCCGAGGCTTGACAGCCTTTCTTTCCTCCTCTTTTTTGAAGAACTTCTTGCCAACCTTAGACTTTGTTGAGCTTCGCTTCGAGTTTTCTTTAGGACTATGAATCGCACTATGTTTCTGAGAGATATAGCAAGGCTTTTTGACTGGAATCACCTTTGAGGAGAAATCCTTTGGAGCCTTCCCTTCACGAGATTTCGAAGCTAATCGTCTATTAGATCTTCTAATTTCGCATTCAGTAAGCTTAGTAGTGCAGTTAGGAGATTTTTGGTGACTAATGGCATCGCTTTTAAGGTCTCCTGAGATACTCTTGTCGCTAACTCATAAACCTCCGATCATCTTGCTAAAGACAGCCTGAGGGTCATCTTGTTCTAACTTTTGCTTATATAATGGACCAAAGCATTCATAATACTTAACCAGATTAGTGAGATCCTGGTTCTTTTTCTTCTCCTTTTTAACAATTTTGTTGAGCCTGAGGACTTCTTTCTCAAGCTGCTTTATGCGTGAGTATGCTCCATTGCTTTGTATTACTCTTGCTGCCTCATTCTTGATTTTACCTAGACTCGGTTAGCATGATGAAGCTCTGATAAAATTATTGAAATTCTTTCATAATTTCTTGTAATTAACTTTTCGTGTAAACTTACCAGATCCTTCAGCAAATTTTGTGTAATTATTGAGGTCCCTTGGGTCTTGTTTATAAGTTTTGGGAGCAGATTTCGCCGTTTCGACAATTTGAGCGCCTTCATCAGGCTCTTTGTTAAGGCTGTCCTGGAGTAAGTCATCCTTTAAGTCCTCATCCATTGAATCCTTCTGGAAGTCTGTACTGTTAGCAAAAGGGGTGGGCTTACCAAGGATGGAGAATGGGTCTGTCCCTTCGGTTTCTGTCTTCAGGACTTTTTCATACATGTGTTTCCCCCATGTTTCCTTCACCCCTTTGGTGCTACTGGGATCAGTGCTAAGAACCTTTTGAGTGAGGTACTGTGGCTCGAAGATAATCTCTTTGCTAAAGCAAGTCTTGGGTTGATTGAAATAGTTAATAGCTTTATTTAGCGTCGATAGGAAAGGTTTCTCCTTATCATTCCAAGTCTTGCTCTCTTCTGGAACTTTCATTATGGTCTTCTGTAACGAAGAGGTATTGAGAGAGTCCTCTAATAGTTCTCAAGGAATGACCTTCTCGATTGTACTACAGGAATTTTCTGCAAGTATATCCTTTATACTAGGGACTTCCTCTCTAGTGCTGTCTTTTTGAGAAAGGTGTTTGATTGTATCGACACTCTCATTCTCTTTTCCCTGAACTTCCTTCGTATAGCAATCTTTGTTAATTTTATGTGCTTTAATCGGGTGCATCAAGGAGCAATTGCTCTTGGCGTCTTCCAGCATGGACAAATGCTTCTTGCCTTTTGTGTTTTGGATGAAGAAATCTTGAAAATTTTTGGTCTGGAGCTCATCGGTCTCTTCAGTAGTGTTATTTTGTACTAGAAATCTTGTCAATATTTAGTCTCTCGATAGGGCTTGTAACTCTAATAAATTTGTTATGAGGGATGGAAGATGAGACTTCAGTTATGGAGTAATTCATAGACCCATTATTCTGTTGCCCCTTCGGATGAGTATTCTGGGACCTCTGACGCTTCTTACTCAAACTCTTCATTTTGTTAGACTGAGGGAGGTAGAACAATTTATTTATTAGGCTTATAAAAATGAGGACTCATAATTTCGCTTTCAAAATCCTGTTTATGATTATGAACTTGGTGGAAATCAAATATTTTCTGGACTTTTTCTTGAGTTTTATGCTTCTGATTGTCGCCTTCAGCAATACTGGCGTCTGCCAATTCCTGAATTCTGCGAGTCGAGTTAATTTTCTTGCTCTGGACTTGATTTATATTTTGATTTAACTTAGACATTTTTAAATTAAATTTTATCAACTTTGGTATTTTTTCAAGGGGTTTTGGGGTTTTGGGGTTTTGGGGTTTTGGGG